CTCATATCAGCCTGCGTCACTCCAACATTTTCACCTCACTTTCAGGTGAAGAGATTGCCAAAATGGAATTTAATTAATCTTTTTCAATTAACGCCTGGTTTGACATCAATGTGCAATCATTTTTTTCTATAATAGTCTTTAAGAATCATCAAAATTATTTATATCATTATTACATTCATTGATACATTGCACTATGAGGGTTGGCTGAGCAATATAACAAAAATGAGACCCATTTTTTGTCATATTGGTCAATCACAATTTTCAGTTCAATTTTATTTTTTATTCAAACCTAATAAAAATAGCTTTCTAAACATAAACAATGCAGAATTATTGCCATTTAGGAGAAACAATAGTCCACTTTTCAACTGCGAGTCTGAACTTAGTCCCAATCACTGCTGCCTTTACTAACAACGGTGTAGACTTCAACAGTAAAACAAACAAAACAAAAAAACAAAACTATACTGACAATTAAAAATGACTGAATCTCAATCTTGATTAAAGCTGTCCAAACACTTAAATATTACCAAGATGAATAAATTAAATTGTTTTATTTTTTGGATCTTCTATATGGTCACATTGTTAATAGTCAGTTTTTTCTTATAAATAAAATGAGAGATTATGTCACTTATCCGTTTGCTAATATATCAGACCTGCTGTCTAAAGAGTATACACAAAGCTTTATTTTTTCACTTTGTTGCAAAGAGATAACTGCATAAAACTACAAGACAACACAGCTCTCTTTTTCAGTTATACTTGTTGGCCCAAAAATATTAGCAGAGCCTATTGGCCGCCAGTTCCTCTGGAATTTAAACAATCAGAAATGGCTATGAAAAAAACATATCAGTCCATCTCTAAATGATAACTAACCAATTAATCACGAAGACCCATAATTTTTATAAAACCATGCACTCAAAAAGTGACTTTTGAACAAAAATGTGTATGAATAAAATGAAGACACGTGCTGAGATGTTGACCTCTTGTTACAGACAGGTCCCTGACTGCTTGTCTGGTGATGTCTTGGCTGGAGCTCTGATGTGATCAGCATGTGTGTGAGCAGGAAACTACACTCCCAGAATAAGCAGCACCATGCCGAGGCTCAGGGGGAGACACATGCACTGTCACAGGCTAAACATGCCGTCTGGAGCAGGTCAGACTCTAACACAGACAAGGTTTAGAGAAGAGATGCTCATTTAAAGAGTAAAGCACACATCAAAATATACTTCACAATAAGTATTTAGGAAATCACAATTTAAATGGACACAATTAAACCACAAATGCTGCCATTTTTAAGAATATCATTTCTTCCACAAAGAACAAAATACCCAATCTTATTCTGCATTAAAACACGTAACCGTGTAGTTTAGATGTGTGTCGTGAAATGTGATTCTTTCATTCATTCGTTCATTTTTCAGTCAGTTTTTGTAAATTTTCCTGGATGCACTTAAATTGTGAACTTTGACCAGAAGAAAAGTCTAAGGTGATCAATGTTTGTTAGAAAAATTGTGATTAGATATTTTTTTCTCATATCGCTCAGCGCTATTAAGAATGACTCAGGCTTAGTAACTAAAAAACAGGGTTAAGTGTTGGGGTAAGCAGTTACTAAGCCTAAATAATTCTTAATAAATTATTTGCTCATATTATATTATCACAACCCTAACATCCTTAGTTGTTCAGTTCAGTACTTCAGTCATTTTGATACCTTACAGACCGTTCCCACATTAACTTCACTAATTCAAAGGTGGTGAAAATCAGAATCTGCATAAGTTACAGTTCATAATTAACACATATCTGCTGCATGTGAAGTTCTTAAATAAACGTGAGACTCTGCACATGTTGTCAAACGTGTTAGGAACCTGAAAACCTGGTACACGCACTCTACTGCTAATTCCTCGGTCTCCTAATGCGTTTTGTGGAAATTACAAATCACCTTTTCCTGGTAATCGTGTTTGACGTGAGCTTCATGACCAAAATTAAACCACAAAAGTTTTGAATTTCTGTCATTTTATTTAGGCAGTCAGTCATGTCCCTGGATATTTGTTTCATAACTGGAAAAAAACCAGTGCATTTGAAGGAAAACTGCAGTTAGGGAAGAGGATTCAAACTACCCCTGGAAGGGCCTCTTCTGTCTGGAAATGGAACCTGGGATCTCTTAGTAATAATGCTGTCAAAAGGATCGAAAATCTGACACTAATCAATACTGAAACTTTTATCGAAACTACAGCAGAAGTCATTTGAGCAGTAGTAAAAAACTGGACAGAAATGAACCTTTCCTGAATAGTTTTTGAATGATCTTGAGCTGTATCAGAACAAGTATAAGATCACCTGGACCACTGTGGAGCCTATCAACATTATTTAATGTTGAAAATCACATTCTATTGTCAATTTATTTTATTTTACTATCATCGTGCTATCAGAATTGGTATTGAGTATTGAGTTTATTAGTGTGATTCATCAGTCGGTTTCACTTTGTGGAAACCGTCTGACCTCACAGCATTAAGATTCATTCACTCGACGGTAGGTGGGTACTTTTTTTTATTTAACCAATTGCTGCTATTTGGTTGCTCCTCTAACGGGGCTAACTGGCATATTAAGCTTTTCCCAAAGAAGGGCAATAAGGTCTTTCCCCTTGATAAAATTCAGCAAACATTCTTTTTGTTCCGGCTTTAAATCCTTGATCTTGGGAATCGTTGCCAACACAGAATATATGGCTCTTCGCTGATTGGCTGATGCCCGAACTCGGACTTCCAGGGTTCTTGCAAACTGTCTGGTGTATTCCGATTCCTGACCTAGTTGCTGGAGAGAAATGAAATTGAGCGGAGGCACTAGGTGGTGCCAGGCTGGCTACGAGTTTATTCCTTAGTATCAAAATCAAGTTAGCAATTTTGGGATTGCGACACTATTTAGTAATAGTAAAAATAACTGATTAAAGATCCTACATAATGCAAAATTGACTCTTTTGAGCTTTAAGCCTCCTCAAAAACAAGATTTATGTTTTGTTTCATTTACACATTTTTTGAGTATTCCTTTATTATTAATCCGTCTACAGCTCCAGAGTTTATAATTCTCTTCTTGAAGTGGTAGTTTTCAGGTTAACACCTTGGAGATTGGTGAATCCAGGGATGGAAGTATCCAAATAACTTTAATGAAGGTGTATGGAAAACACAGTGGAGCACTTCATGTATTACTACCTGACATCACAAGGTGGAACAGAGTATTTTCCATTTGAGAGAAGAACTCAGCCTAAATATGCAGGGTGTGTGTGTTAATAAAACAAAGCACAACTCCAGGTATGTTTTTGATGAGAAAACAACATTATAACAGATGAGAAAATAGCAAAATATGGGCCCTCTTTAACATAGACTTCTTCATTTAAGCATGTGTTTGTGCGTGTTAGGCTTGGACAGTGCACTTAGCATCTTGTATTTGGTTACTATTGAGCAGAGAGCCTTGGCTGTTGGCTCTGTGCTTGGATAAAGACTCTCATTTAGAATAATGAGCCCCTCTGCGTATATGTCTGTGTTCTGCTGTGCTCTCACGCCTCTGTCCACTGATGGTGCAGCCGCGTACAGAGAAAATTATACACTTCTTTTCCTGTTGCTCTTTCCCTGTTCACACTGACTGTGGCCCTGCTCATGTGTGGGGCTGATTCACACTCTGAACACATTGAGCAGAGGGAGAGTGTGCTATGACTCAAAGCTGACTGAGGAGTCCAGGGTCCAGGCTGGAGGGGCTGTCCGTGCTTTTTCTGATACTGAAATTTAAAACTTGTTTTTGATACTAGAGGAAAGGCTCAGTTCTTGATGCCAATCTCATACCAGTGTATTCAAATAAGTACACAAAATTATTCAGATAAGAAAAAGCAAGATGTGTTTTTACAGTATTGATTAGGGATGTAACGATAACTGAAATATCGTGATATCATATTGTCAAAGTTCTAACAATAATATCGTGGACCATCAGAATATATCGAGTCTCTTTGCTTAAATTAAGAGTTATGGTGCAGCAATTGCTAAAAAAAAAAAAAAACAGCGGGAACTACATAGACCATGATCCTTTGCTCCATTTCAGTGCAGACTACAAGAAGAAATAACAGTTCTAAGCACTTTTAAGTCTTAGTTCTTTGGATTAAGTCTTGCCAAGGCATTTTAAGAGGAAAAAGTAGCATATTAACAGTTTTGTTAACCTCCACAAAATACTGTAGCAAATATCGTACCGTGAGATGTATATTGTGAAAACCGAGAGATTTGAATATCGTTACATCCCTAATCGTGAGCCTCCCCACCATATCGTGAGCTTTCTCGCAATAAATACCGTGAGGGTCATACCGTGATGAAATCATGGATATCGTTTCACCCCTAGTTATTGATTCTTCAAATTAGTATTAGCACCTTTCGATTTTTTGACAACCCTTGCAGCACAGTCTAATATGCCCCATTTGATTAGTTCACTGAGTTGGTTGAAGAGGCTGATGGTTTTGCTGCTGTGGTAAAAAAAATAAGGCTGAGAGGGTTCTGGGATGTTTATGAAATAGCAGAAAGAAGAAAGGGTAGAGTGGGTTTATTTGAAGGGCTTGAGATGTATCAGACTGCAATTGATTCACTGACAGTACCTGGTCTGAAGACCTTATGTGAAGCTGGTGGTCTTTCTCAGAATAGTTATGAGCTGCAGGTTGTAGCAGACACTGAAATATAAATTTAAAATTGATTTTCCATAAAATAAAAATGTATAAATTGACGTTTGTCTTATGCGTAGATATAGTAAAGGTTTTGTTTTTCTCTATAGTCCTCACTTAATGACCTTGACAGATTGATCATGGATGCTTTTGGCTCATCTGTAACATCCATTTTCCACCTTTATCGACCAATCTGTGCGGTTTCTGACACAAGGTTTACGCAACCCACATTGTGCAGCACGTGCTTTATAGTAAACAGTAACTTTCTGGATATTTTAAACCACGTGAACAACTACAGTATTTGCGTAAAGCTCTACGGCACCGCTTCTAGAAGATGGCCGTGATTCATTGAAACATATGGGACTGTGAGCGTGTCTTCTATCGAAATGTTGGCAGGACAGTCTCGTGTTGTGTCACATCTCTCCTCCTTCCATCCTGCCTTCCCTCTCTGAGTCGCTCGCTGCTCTCCGCCCTTCGCAGTTCTGGCAGAGCGGAGCGCGCGGTGTGCGTCTGGACATGTCACGCTGCTTTACGCACAAGACCTTCTACACGAGAGACATTAAAGAGACGCGCACTGTGTAAACGGACTTGCAGAAAGTTGATTGTTTTCCCGGAACAGCGGCTCTCGGCGCGGCGGTGGCGCGGATGAGGCTCCCATCTCGCCGCGTCTTCGTCCGGACAACTTGTCTTCTTTCCTCGGTACACGAAGCGGAATGGAAACAGTCTAAAAAGAGAGCAGCGTGGGAACTTTAAAGCGCTTGACTTTTTGGAAATCATCGAATGAGAGAGCATGATCCCTCCAGCAAACATGCTCCAGGACGAAAGTGGGGGCAAAGAGGGCGACCGCGAGCATGAAGAGAGTCCAAAATCACCCACCGCCAGCCAACAAGAGACTAAGGTAGGACTGTTGCAACAAACTTTTACAACTACCTCATCTATCTGCAACATTTACAACCGGACAGCTTTCCTCCTCTTGGCTTTCTCCTCTGGTGTAAATCTAGATAGGCTGAGGCTACATTAAGAGGGGAGAGCCGTAATTTAAATGTCATTAAAGGGCACCAGCAATTTACTCCATCTTTGAAATGTAAGGATGACATTTGTTGGAGATGGCGTGGGATAATCCATTCTGCTAAACCGTGAATCCCATTGGAGATCTACGCGTGGAGTAATATTAGGATAATAATAGACTTGGATGATCTAAAACAACGCCAAATTTAGGACTAAGAAGAAAGATAATGTCTTTAGTATTTTAGTGACTGCAGAATCCTTAGATCAGTATTTTATTTTCATTATAAACATATCAGAAAATAATAAAACAACACGAAGACTGAAGCAAAGCAGGGTATAAATATCAGAGGTGGGACCAAGTTGTTGTTTTGCAAGTTTCAAGTCTTTGACCTCAAGTCCCAAGTCAAAAGTTGCATCTAAAGTAAACAAAAAAACAAAACAGAGAAGTGAGAGCGACATGTTCCAGTTTGTTCTTGTAAAATTCAGCACTGCATTTATCAACTGTAAAGAAAAAAGTATTTTCTAAAAACATATATATTTTTAGGAGAAGCATCAAGTTTTCTCAAGTCACAGGGCCCACGTCTGAGTCGAGTCCCAAGTCATTGACCTTCAAGTCCACGTCAAGTCCCAAGTCTTTGTCTGTTTTATCAAGTCAAGTCTCAAGTCCTAAAAAATAGTGACTCAAGTCTGATTCGAGCCCAAGTCACGACTTGCAAGTCCCCACCTCTGATAAACATTAATAAAAAGTTCAACAAAATAAAAAGTTGCTCTTAATGACATCTAGCTCAGAAGTTGCTAGTTCAACTCCCTCCAAATTGGCCATCATATATTCAATTTAATCTCCATTAATGTGAAATAGATTCTTCTTCTTCTTTTCTCCATATACCAGCTGCACAGAAGAGGGGCTATTTCAAAATTATAGCAATTTTGGATATTATAAAAGAAGCACATCTATTTCAAACTACTATTATTCCCTTTTACCTAGAGTCACTTCGTACCTTTCTTAACACATTATTAACTGCAGTACCCGGGACATGTACTTGTATGTGGTCCTGATGTACTGCCAGCTGCTGTGGGCTCCTCTCTGGGAGTCTCACATCCACCACTCTGCACTACTGTACTCAGAGAAGTATCAGTATTAGTACATGTACTAATGGTCCTCTTGTACATGTCTCAGGCTGATCCAGTCTCACAAGGACAGATGAGCCCTTCATCTTGTGACGTGAAAGCTCTTGGCTCCCCTACAGCAGTGAGCGTGCTTTAAATTCTCCTGCTGTCTTAAATTGGCAGCAAGTTTATGAGATTAATGCCGAACATTTTCAGCACTTTAAAACTTGGATAAACCTCTATGTAGGAGCAGACTGGTAAATACATTATTTCAGTGGACAAGGGAGACTTATGGATTGTAGTTTTACAATAAGTCTGGATCACAAGCCACATTTTTTACGCATTAATTTCCTCGTAGTGTTTATACACTCATCACTTTTACTTTCCCTTTCTTTATCAGAATCTCACCATAAGATTACAGTGGTGTTAATGAAGTTTAATAAAGATTTACATACTAATCATAGAATTACAAGTTGCATTTTGCTACTTTTTTGGTGGAGGGTCTGTCACCTGCTTGTCTCCATGGAAATGTTATTGCTTTGTCATTGCTCCGGAGAGCTACTTTTACAAATGAAAATGCGAGAGAACTAGTAATTTTGTCAGTTTCGAGAAATGTTGTATATGAGAGCCTTAGATCGGGTACAGTTGCATGCTAATAAAACATTATATATTTATTAATGCACAAAGTTAGCCATCAAAATGGTATATTTACAATGGCAATAGGCATTTCATTTATAAAATTTTAGTTCTTTGGCACAATATATATAATTTAGAAGTCCCTTGGTGAGCTCCTGGTAGCTCCCGAGCTACAGGTTGGAGACTCCTGGTCTAGAATGTTCCCTGGTAGAGATTAAACCTATCTCTGTAAGCTACATTACAGGCCAAGTCTGTGGAGAGTCGCCTCTATTCACAGTGAGAATTGTTGTATTTTTGAACAATAGAAACTTTGGTAATGAATACAGTAAATGCTAGATAGATGTGTCATACCATTGAACATACCAAGCAGTTGACGGATCCTCCACCAGAAAAGTTGCACAATGCATCTTTAACCATATGATTTTGAAGAATTGTTCAGCCCTTAGAATGTGGTTGTTTTTTGTTTTTTTTGACAACTATTGCAAGAAGATTTTCAATTTATATTTTAGTATTATTCAGAGTCCACATTTTAAACACATCCAGACAAATTAAATATAAATTGACAAACTAATTTAAGAATCACATTTCAGAACATGTTTGTACAAATCAAAACTACAACATTAGCCATTTTTATGCTGAATAATTTTCTTGTTTGTGAAGGAGATTATGGTACATCAAACATGACAGCCTTTGTGACTTGCTTATTACGTCCAGTCAAATTTCGATTCGATTGCCCCAGCCATACTTTTGTTTTTAAATAAAGCTCTTCTGCTCTGTTCCCTTGAAGAATTTGAGACCAGACGAACAGAAGCGCAAGGTGAGGTTTCACACTTAGACAATTCCCCGGCCCATCTAAGCCTCCTGCATGGAATCTAAAAGTTGTTCAGTCACAACTTTTGCCTTTTATAACATTAGACAACTTTCATATAGAGGGGATGTTATGTTTTATACTGTATAATCAATTCTATTTCTGAATTTTAAGCACTCTTATCATCCAGTCATCCCATAGTTCCTACTAACCTGCCTGGCACTGACAGGACAGCCCATCTAAACATAATGCCATTATAACACAGTAGAGGCCCCCAGATGCATGCTCCACACTCACTTAAATAATAAAAAAATATGATTCTGTTTCCTGATCTATGTTATAATGTTGTTTCCTCCCCACAAACGGACCTGGAGTTGTGTTTTGTTTCATTCACACATGTTTAACGCTCAAACCCTGTTCTTCTCTCAAACAGAAAACATTATTCCACCTTGTGACCTCATAGGGTAATGCAGGAAGTGCTCCACTGTGTTTTTAAAATCTATACTAGGGCTGTTCAATTATGGAACAAATCATTATCAGGATTATTTTGGTCAATATTGAAATCACGATCGTTCTAATGATTATTTTATAGTTACACAATGCATTTATTCAGCATTTCTCTCTCAAACAAATGCTGTTATTGATAATTTATGCAAAACTGTGTAGCCTATATGTATTTTCAATATAGGTGACAAATAAGTAGCCTGATTCATCAGCCAGTTTCACTTCGTATAAAGTGTATGACCTCGTAGTGTTAGAATTAATTCGCTCGACGGTAGGTGGGTACTTTTTTTATTTAACCATTTGCTGCTATTTGATCGTGATGTATGTAATGTGCCTCTAACAGGGCTAACTGGTATATTAAGCTTTTCCCAAATCCCATAGGAAGAAGGGCAGTAACGTCTTTCCTTTTGATAAAATTCACCAAACATTCTCTTTGTTGTGGCTTTTTTTTGTGGATCTCAGGAATCATTGCCAACACAGAATGAATGGTTGATGATGGTGCTGATCGGCTGGTGCCCAGACTCACACTTCCGAGGTTCTTGCAAACCGTCTAGTGTATTCCGATTCCTGACTGCTGGAGAGAAATGAAATTGAGAAGAGGCACTAGGTGGCACCAGCCTGGCCAACAAATATATACCTTAGAGCAGTTTTGCAATGAATAAAATATACTTTGAACAAGGCATAGAAAAACATAAATATATCCAAAATAAACTATATATCCAGCTGTTCTACAATCTCTATATTAAAACAAAAAAATAAATAAATATACGTATTTATATTTTAAAAATCGTAAAATAAACTTTAAACTTTAAAACATTTCAACTTGATTATATGAGTTTGGAAATCGCAATCAAAATTCAATTAATTGCACAGCCTTAATCCATACACCTTTGCTAGAATCATTTGGATGATTTCAGCCCTGGAATTGTTCATCTCTAAAAGGTAGCTGTTGAAAACTACTGCTTGATGTTATCACAAGGTGGAACAGAGCATTTGGAGCTTTGGAGATGTAGACAGACTGATAATAAAGTGTTAAATGAAACAAAACACAACTCCAGGCTGGTTTTTGATGAGGTGGCATCATTATGACATGGTTTAAGCTCAGAAGAGTCAGTTTTGCGTAATATAGATCAAACAAGAGAGCACATGTGTAGATGTTTTACGATGAAATGTGCTTATCCAAACACAAGCCAACAGTGCCAGTGCTGCCCTTTTAGAAATGTGTATCTGTATGTGCGTGTGTGTGTTTGTGTGCGTGTGTGTGGTTGATAATGGAGGGTGTAAATCAATTCTCTTCTGGATGACCTGTAGAACTGATTGATTGTGACCATAATGTTCTGATGCCAAAGCCAAAAGCTATCCAAACGGTCCACTCCGCACGGGAACTCTGCCAAACTAGTTCATAAAGGCTTTTGGTCTCACTCACTCACATAGAAAAAGCATTTATTTTATGTAGCTGTTTGTTTGAAGAATTTAAAAGGCCCATGTTACACTATTTATTTTATAATCTAATGTTTCCTCATTATGAGCCTACTTGAGAGTTCAGTTCTAGGCTCTGTTCCACCCTGTGATGTCATGTGGCAATACGGGAAGGTGATCCACTGTGTTTTTTTTTTGTTTTTTTTAATATTTGAATTGAACATTGAACATGACATAGAGAGAGAAAAAAATACTGTAAACAAATTGCATCCTATGTTATAGATTGCATTTAAATTTGTATAATGTTACAGCATGTCATGTCCAGTGTATGTCCCATTTATTCCAAAGTTTGTCAAAGAGGACCATTTTCAAAGTAAATCTAAATGTTATTTTTTTCCTTTTTTCAAATTTCATTTATAATTTATGACCAGGCTTCGATTGATGGCGCAGTTTCTGTCATCCATTCTTTTGTAATGGCCTTTTTTCCTGCTGCCAGAAGTATGCTCCAGAGATATCCACTGACTGTGTCCATGGCAGGGGTTTTGTAGCCAGGCTGGCGCCACCTAGTGCCTCCGCTCAATTTTATTTCTCTCCTGCGACTAGGTCAGGAATCGGAATACACTAGATGGTTCGCAAAAATCGAGTGCGAGTTCGAGCACCAGCGACTCAGCGAAGATCCAGACATTCTGTGTTGGCAACGATTCCCGAGATCGAGGATTTAAAGTTGGAACAAAGAGAATGTTCAGTGAATTTTATCAATCATTCTTTCTACGGGATTTTGGAAAAGCTTAATATACCAGTTAGCCCTGTTAGCGGCGCATTACATACGTCACAACCAAAAAGCAGCGATTGGTTAAATGAAAAAAGTACCTGCCTACCGTCGAGCTAACAAATTCTAATGCTGTGAGGTCAGACGGTTTCTACGAAGTGAAACCGGCTGATGAATCAGGCTGGGGGTTTTGAGGCCCAGGTACATAATTTTGAAATCGAGTGGGATGGTCATATTAAAGACAGTTTGCAGTGCTTCGTTAATTTCTGTCCAATATTCTCCATTGGGATGTATATATATTTTCCCATTCTTCATCTTCTTCTGCCAGGGTCCACTGTCTTTTTAAACCCCATACACATTCACTAGAATAATTTGGATAATTTTAGTCCTGGAATTTCCCATCTCTTCTGAACAAAAGATAAAATGTAGCTGCTAACTTGAAAACTATTTCCTCATGGCATCACAAAGTGGAACAAAACATTTTGAGCTTTGGCGATGTAGACAGACTAATAATCATGTGTGAATGAAACAAAACACAACTCCAGGTATGTTTTTGATGAGGGAACAACATTGTAAAGTGGTTTAGTGCTTACAAGAGTTAATTTTGCATAATGCAGGACCTTTAGAGTAATCAAAGATAAACAAATATTCTTTCCTGGTCCAGAGATGAAATGAAGCCATGTAAGGTTTGTGCTTCATATACAGTACACTGTTAAAGGTGGAAGGTGCAGAGTATGGGAATGAAAGGTGTTGCACTGTGTAAACTTAGACATGACATTGTGAAGAGGTTTAAACAGTCTCACTTAGAAGTCTCTCCAGATGGTTCCTTTTATTTACTACGATTTATACTGGAACATTTCAGATCTGTTTATACGCTAGAGGACAGTGGTCACATGCATTTAATGTCGTCACTCACTCCAGACATCGCAAATTCTAATTTAGCTTAGTTTTAAAGATGTATAAATCACATACTGTTTTGTGTTAACCTTATTTGTTTATACATAGGCCTGTCACAGTAAGAAATTTTGAAGTGGGATATATTGCTGAGGTGAATATAGATGATAAACAATAATGAAAATGAGTGAAACCAAACCATAAAGAAGATGTCTTAAAATGTATTCTAAATTTACAATATTATAAAAAAAAATATGAGTTGCAATAAATAAATGACAGAATACAACAGTTAAGTAGTTTGTTTTGGAGCTCATAGAAGTTCATAATTCAACCTTCCATAGTGTAAATTGTTTAATAATATGGAAAAATAACCAAAAATGTCTAATTAGCACAAAGAAAAAGTCCCCACGAAATATACTGACTCCCAAATATTATTGTGTTATGTATTAAATGCAAAGCCTATACAGTATTATCGTGACAGGCCTATTTATATCTGTACAATATTGTTTCTTATTGCTTTTTCTCAGCTGCAGAGACTAAAGCGCTCACTGTCCTTCAAAACCAAGAGCATCCGCAGTAAAAGTGCGGACAACTTCTTCCGTAGCAGCAATGAGAACAAGACGGAGCTCCTGTCTGACGTGAGCAGCAGCACCGGGCACCTGTGTAACATCGGCATGGCCCCACCTGCCATCCCCTCCGCCCCGCCGGCCATCCCCTCCGCCCCCCCGCCCACCTCACGCCCACAGGCCCGCAACCCCCTGCACGACTCGGCCGGACACTGCTTCATGGAGCACATCTTCAAGAAGCCCACCTTCTGTGACGTCTGCAACCACATGATCGTAGGTACGGCCCTAACAGCTCTCAATACACAGGTACCACTTCATAATAATGACACCAACATTTGCTCATATAAAGCATGAATAACACATGATTCTCAGGGTTCTCACGGTCATGGAAAGCCTGGAAAAGTCATGGAATTTTTGTATCTATCACACAACTACAGCGTTCTGTTAAGTTCTCATGACGCTATTATGATTATTTCTGAAAGTATGCACCTTTTTTTTAAAAGAGACGACAATAAATGCACTGACAGTATTTAAAATTTTGAATGAAAAATTATGATACCAAACCATAAGGCAAGTGGAAAGAGTTAACATTTCATATTTAGACCTAAAAGTATGATCAATTCTACACACGTAGGGTGAGATAGAAATTTATGTATTTATTTTTGGGCAAGTAAGAAATTGACATTCTTTTACAATGGAACATATAACATAAAAAAATCATAGCAGAAATAACAACAACAACAACAAAAAATTAAAATTAAAATAGAAAAATTGGTCCAAAAAGAAGTGGGAAGAAGAAAACTTATTTAATCCCACCCCCTTCTTCTAATCTAACACAATGAGCTTTCTTTCGCAATTTTTCAGACATTTTACATTAAATTATATGAACTATTTACAAGTGCCGTAAAGTCATGGAAAATTCACTTTAGGTCATGAAAAAGTGGAAAAGTTTTGAAATTTTGCCAATGACAGAGTGGGAACCTTGAATTCTGCTTTAGTAACTATCTTATTAATGGATTAGGGTCGGAGTTACTGTCAGAAATAAAGTCTGAATCATTCTTTACAAACTGTTCTCTCCCTTAAATAAAATGTCCATGCTTCTTTATGGTTAATGAAAGTGTAATTATGTAATTAAGTGTTACCAAAAGACGTATGTGTAAGCATTAAACAACAAGGAGCTGTACGCCCGGCTCCAAGATGTTTAATGTGCTTATGCTACAGCTTCAAACAGAAAATGTTTCACTTGTAAATGTGAAAAGCCTGTTCACAGTCTGTAAATGTCCAAAATATCAGTTATTTCAATGTTTTAATTTTACTCACAGCAGTTAAGTATTTGTTTTCTGTGGTTATGTCATGCTGATGGCTGCAGAGAAATGATACAGAACAGTGATTTGGCTTTTGCCGGACTATTATAAATGAACAAAAACCTACGTGCATGTTTTGTTTAATTCTAGCATGTTCAAGTAATCCATTTTATTTGGGCATTCAACGTATATATTTTTTTTTTAATTGGCATCAAGTCCATACATCTTCACAAGAGTCAGATCATTTTACCGTTCAAACCGCCTGTCACAAGAAGGCAGCATTGATTACAACCACAGACCAATTATATGACACGAGAGCCCAGATAGACAGATTTTATGGCGGCGTAAAAAACACGGTGTTGAGTTGCTCCGTCGAGGATGTTCTTAGCTTTATGTGGGGTTCGCTGCAGGTGGAGGCAGGTGTGGTCTCCCCCTGTCACAGCCTCTGATTTAGGTGAAGGGAGAGGATGTGTGTCTGTCTGTAATGAGAGAACACAGTGAGTCACAGTGGGCCAGGTCAGAGAGAAGGTCATCGCCGAGCTGCACATGGCAACAACAGAAACAAATTAGGGACCTGCAATTCAGTCATGATGAAACACAATAATAGATATGTTAAAGATGCACATGTTTTAAAGGACTGTATTCTAACTAGGTATGAGCTGACCAATTATTTTATTTAGACTATAAGGATTTATATGGGACAATTGCAAAAAATGTGAGTTTGCTGAAAATTTGGGACTGAATCATGAGTTTAATCAGCTTTTTATATGTAAATAAATACACAATTTCCTTTGTTTTGCATATATTCCCGTACAGTTGTAGTCTTGTGAGTGCAGTTTGGATCAGATACACAGAAATACTTGTTTTTATATTTTATTTTCTTATAGTTTTTTTTAGTTATTTTACCACAGAACCTTTTTTTAGTCGACGAGAGCATGTGTTCAGTTGACCAAGAATTTATTTTGTTGACTACAGCCCTATTTTATGTATTCTTATGTTATCAGGGTACCCACGGGGTTTTAAAAGTCTTAAAAAAGGTCTTAACATTCATGTTCCTAAATTAAGGTCTTAAAAAGTCTTAAATTATGTTGTCCAAGTCTTATTTTTTCACAAAAGTCTGACATTTCATTAGCCTATTTTTTTGTATACTCAACCGGGCTGCAGTGCAATGTTAAATGGAGGGAGGAAAAAAAAAAAAGGTTGATCATTATTAGAATTGGATCTGGTGTTTTTCACCCACATAATGGGTGCGATGTTGGTCTTAATTTTCATTTAAGTGGTCTCAAAAAGGTCTTTAGAAAGTCTTAAATTTGGGGTAGTCAAACCTGGGGATGCCCTAGTTATAGACAAGTTAAACGGCTATTGCAGTTCTTGTCTGTTTAATGCTGAATTCATTGTTAATTTTCGTAAATTAATATACACTATTAATCAAAAGTTTGGACACACCATCTCATTCAGTGTTTTTTATTTATTTTTACAACTTTCTACATTTTGGATACATACAAAATAAAATAAGAAAGAATTATGTAGCAGAAAGAAAAACATTAAATAATTCTGCTATAATGTATTTTTTAAATATTTATATTCAGATCCATAAACCTCCGAGTTTCTTTTTAACGACAACATTTTCTGTATACCCTGTGTCATATATTTGATGTCTTCTGTACGTTGTGTCTAAACTTTTGACTGGTGTAGCATAATTTTTTATCTTTGTGTCTAATATTTGTTCCCTGTAATTCAGATTTTCACTTTGGCTCTTAGGTTGTTCTTCTTTTTCAGTCGTCTGCTTCACCTGGGCTTGCCTCTTCCAGTAATATTATAATAGTGGTTCATTACTATGCAATGTCACTTAGGACTCATTTTGCCAGCACCATTATGCAACAATAACACTTATACAGCGCTCACACTAAGCAAAGCATGTACATATCAAAATGCTAATACTGTCAGACACACTGGAAATATTAAACACCCACAGGATCCTAATGGGTCTCATTTGTTATAGAAATGTCTGCAAATGTAGTCTCTAATCCATAATAAATAAGGCAAAATTACATTACATTACATTACTGTGCTTACAAAGCCATTCATTATGTCTGCATGATGGAGGCCAAGACAAATCTAATATAGAGCCACATCTCCATTTGAGTGCAGTTTAGATGTCTGCTCAGCCTCCTGCACAGGGCTCTAACACGTGAGTACCTGATCACCTGTGAGGGTTTAGACACTGTTTTCAATTTCAGTACTAAGGAAACAGGCTTGATACTCGATACCGATTCCGATTCTTTATTTAGACACTAAATCGCAGTACAGGTACTTTCTTTTATATTACCATGTGGTCTTGTATCTGTATAATCTGTTGCATACTTGTCCATGGCCCTATATTAGTAGTAAGTAGTATTTTATGTTATTTTAATATATTATGTAGTCTTATACTTGTTCTGATTATTCTAAAGCTATTCAGGAAAGGTTTATTTTTGTCCTCTGAATGTGATGTTTTTTAGTATTGGTACCTTCTCAAATGATTATCCAGTTTTGAGACACGTTTTAGTATCAGTTAGTATCTGATTTTTAATCATTTGACTAAGGATGTGCAAAAATATTGAAATATCGATATATTGCGAATAGGGGTGTAATGATATCCAAGTTTCACGATACGATATGGTCACGGTACGAACCTCACGGTGCGATATTTATTGCAATATTGTAGGGCAGCTTACGATATGGCGGGGAGCCTCATGATTAGGGGTGCAACGATATCCAGATCTCTCGGTTTTCACGATATACATCTCACGGTACGATATTTTGTGGAGGCTAACAAAACTGTTAACATGCTACTTTTTCCTCTTAAAATACCTTAACAAGACTTAATCCAAACAACTTAGACTTAGAAGTGCTTAGAACTGTTATTTCTTCTTGTAGTCTGCGCTGAAACGGAGCAAAGGATCATGGTCTATGTAGTCTTTTTTGAGCTATTGCTGTACCATAACTCTTAATTTATGCAAAGAGACTTGTAATTCGAAATAATGTGATTGTTCACGATATTATTGTGAGAACTTTGGCGATACGATATCGTGATATTTCGGTTATTGTTACATCCCTAATCGCCAAGAGTATTTTTAGGTATTTTTTACTAGAGTATTTTGTGTAAGAGCGACAGTTGTTTTGAGTAAAATTAGTGTTTTTCATCTTGACTTTGCACAGACTTAGTGGACTTAATATCACAGCCATGATTTAGCCTTTGTTTTTTGCTGAAACGTATCAAATCGATTTGAAATATATCATATTGAATCGTATCGAATCGAAAGTGCACTGTATCGAGAAATGTATCGTATTGTGGCCTCTGTATTGAGGTATGTATCGTATCGACAACTTCTTACTTTTGACAGCCCTGTTTAATAATAGTGATAGTATTTCCCTTGAAAAGAAAGAGTTGATTGTCAATGATTAATGTGATATTTTAAGTTGAATCCTTAATGCTTTTTTCCCCTCTCTCGCACTTTTTCTGCTGTTGTTGTTTGGGGAACCTAGTAACCTACAGGCGACATGTTTAAAATTACATGTTGTCCTTCTACAAACAGAGTTGTACAGTAGTCTAGTCTGCTTGAATCTGATCCTTTGCTGAAGCCTAATTATTCTCAGGGTCAAAGTTCACTCTGTGGAGGTATGTGTACATATTAGGGCTGTGTGGATTTTAATTGTAATCGAGAAGCAGTTATTTTGCATCTTCAATGATCAGCTTGGTGCTTTTTAATCGAGGTCTTCAGCTAATCCTTTGTCAGTAAAAGCATGAGTTTTTGGAGTAGTTTTTTTAAGAAATAAATTTGACTTGTTGTGCTCTGCTCCACCTGTGTCATGTCATGTAGTGGAAGTTTTCAAGTTAACAGCTCCTTTTACCTTTTATTCAGTAGAGAAGTAGGAAATTAGCCCAGTGAAGGTGTTTTAAATTTACAAACACAATGGAGCACTTCCTGTA